GAGAGCGTATGCGGACGAGCTTGGATCGAGGAGTGTATAGACGTGATGCCCGAGCGCACGAAGCGGCTAGTGAGGGTCGCGCATGGAGGTACGCGAGGACACGCAAGAAGACGGTATCGAGGCTAGCAACGCTCACATGCACGGAGAGGTGCATTAGACAAGGGCGCGCACACGCGCATTGGCGTAGACGCGCATGGCGCTTGATGGTTTGGCGAAGGGGCGCGCAGGGGGTGGATATTGGGTGGTCGATGCGCGCGAGAGAGAGCACGCGAATGGTGTCGGGCGTACGCGGGTGCGCGGTTGAGTACGGGAGCGCCGGGATAAACGAGACACGCTGGGAGACCGCGGGGCGCGATGGCGATGTTAGGTTGGCGGGCGTGCGCGGTACTCGCGATGGTGGCGGGGACGCGCGGCAGATGGGCAGTGAATGCGGGGCGCGCACGAGACGCGCAAGTGAGGGCGACGCGACGATGGCCTATTCCACATAGGCGTAAGAATAGCGGGCAGGGACACGCACGCGCGAGGAGCAGGCGACAAGCACATGGTGCAAGCCGACGGGCGCGATTGTGGAGCAAGCGCGGATGACCTTTGCCGCACAGGACTAGGCATAGTGGACAACGCGTGCGGGGTGCACGCATGTGAAGCCGCGCACGAAAAGGAGTAGGCGTGCGAGCGAAGGCGGCCGAAATATTATGTGAGGCGCGTGGATTGGAATTGTTTGGAGTGCAAGCCAAGCAAGATCAAGATCTAGTCAATTAACGACTCTAGGATATTTAGTTTCCTTCTTGCACAATAATATCTAGATTGTATAGGTTAGTTAATATTTAATTGCTTTAATTACAGATTTAGTTGGAATAGGATTTATTTACTGCACAGTTTAGGAGATCTAGTTGGATTAGAATTAGATTTAGTTTTCTCCTATAAATACCCATGTCCCCTATGTTATTTAGAATCATTCAATCATCCAAGAAATAATAGAACTCAAGAACTTTTGTTCTCTCTCTCTTTGCTTTAGTTTTTTCACCAAAATTCTATTGCAATTATATTCGTTAGAAAGGCTGCGAGTGTGCGACTTCCTAACACCTATCGAGCGATTTAAGGCGCGGGAGCGGCTTGTCGACAGTCGAGACACACGATCTTCATCACTACGGCTTCTCGCACATAACACGCATGCATGCTACTAACGGGAAAAATGAACTAAATAAACATGATAGGCTCGGTCAACAACTGTCGGGAACTTACCTCTTATAAAGCTCAAGAGACCAATCTACTCGAACTCCCGCGCTCTCGGTCGTTACCCTCCGCGTTCGTGTGTTGCGTGCGGTGCGGCGGAACGCGACGGACTGCTGCTGCTTATGCGCGAGAGCTCGGACGTGCGATGGCTTGCGGCTTGCGCGATGGCTCTCGGCGGAAGCTCACGCACAACACTCACAAAATTCTCACAAAAAGACTCACTCACTAACTCTCTATCTCTCGGCACTTGGAGGAGAAAATAGAGCAAAGTCTCCAAAGCCTCACATAATAATAAGGGCCGAATGCATGGGCTAAAGAGAGGAAGGGAATATGGTCAATGGCTATGGACACTTGGCTCACACATGCACAAAACTAAGGC